CACTAGGATTGAAATTACAATGCTTTATAGATTTATTCATAGCTAGGAGATGGGACGCGGGATGAAGGGATCATTGACTGTAAATTAAGAAGAGTTACTGAACTTTTTTAATTTGTGTTTATGAAGATTGGAAATCACTTATTTATATATTGCTTTGCTTTTACTTTATTCCTCCCCCTTCCTTCCTTCCTTCCTTCCTTCCTTCCTTCCTTCCTTCCTTCCTTCCTTCCTTCCTTCCTTTTTTATTTTTTCTTTCTTTCTTTTTTCCCTCCCCCCTCTATTAGTTTTTACTATTGCAATGGTAAGTTTAATAAAATTACTTTAAAAAAAAAGGTTAGCAACTTTCAGCTGCTACCAACTCAGACACATTTTTCAGTCCTGGCAACTCCCTGTGTGGTCTAAATTTATAAAGAGAAAGGAGGGTCATCCTGAAGAAACGTATATTGTCTCTGATAAATGATTACATGGGAAAGAGGACTATTTATAGGCCACATAGATGAATCTGAGATAATAAGAAACAACAACTCAAGCAGACAGTTCTTCCCAGGAGGGGTCAAACTTCCTATCACAATCATTCTAGCATCTCGACTGCAGACTGCTCTATTCTACCATGCAAGATTATGTCAGTGGCTACATTTTCATGTTATGTCAACATTAAAATCAAGTGCAAAACCAGTTGTGATTGGCTTCTTTTCATTTTTAAAAAGTGATAGGACACTTTCTTAATTGGTTCAGCACATGCCTCAGGATCTCTTGTGGCCAGCTGGACTTTACCGACCCCTCACATCCTGGACATCAACTCTGTCAACTCCTCCCCTTGGGACGCCACTACAGGGCATTGCATATCAAAACAACTAGACACAGAGACATTTTTTCCTTGTGCCATCACTCTGCTGAACACTTAATCCTCACAGTACTGTATTATGTCTAAGATATTTACCCATGTTGTATGGCTGTAGAATAATAACAACAACAACAATAACAATAGCAACCACTGTTCATCATCATCATCATTATTGTGTGGTTAATCTTTGGTGAGATTCACAGCCTTTGGGGCTGGTTGGTAGCTCAACAGCTCGAGTCCTAACCAAGGACCTAGGCACTGTTAAGGTAAAGTCGGAGGATATAAGCTGTTCCAAGTAGGCTGTTTTTTTGTAGAATCAGAATGTTCAAGTCAGGCAAATTTAGAATTTCCCAATAGAGGGGTAGCCCTTTAGGTATTGCTCCAAGGGCTCCAATTACAATCAGGACAACACCCAATTTCTTTTTCCACCGTTGTTCAACTTCAATTTGCAAGTCACGGTACTTTGTGATTTTTTTTCTTGCTGTTTATCTTCAATTCATGCATCTCCAGGTATTGCAATGTCAATGAACCATACTTTTTTTTTCTTTTCAACTATTGTTATGTCAGGTGTGTTGTAGGCCAAGTGCCTGTCAGTCAGAATTCTGAAGTCCCACAAGATCTTGACTTTCTCATTTCTCATTCTCTAAAACCTTCTCAACCTGATGGTCCCAGTGGTTTTTGCTGTACTCAAATCCAAACTTTGGGCACAATTTCCAGTGAATGATCTTAGCAACGCAGTCATGGCATTGTAGCTAGTCAATTGTTGTTGTTGTTGTTGCTGCTGTTGTTGTTGTTATCCTTCTTGACTTTTCTCTCTTATTGGTATTTTTATTATGATGATTATTATTACTCTGTTGCTTTACATATAAATGTAACTCTCATTCTGCACCGGAGACAAATTTTTTGTTTGTCCAATCATACTTGGCCAAATAGCAATAGCAATAGCAGTAGACTTATATACCGCTTCATAGGCCTTTCAGGCCTCTCTAAGCGGTTTACAGAGAGTCAGCATAATGCCCCCAACAATCTGGGTCCTCATTTTACCCACCTCGGAAGGATGGAAGGCTGAGTCAACCCTGAGCCGGTGAGATTTGAACCGCTGACCTGCTGATCTAGCAGTAGCCTGCAGTGCTGCATTTAACCACTGCGCCACCTTGGCTCTTATAAAGCCGTTCTGTTCTGTTCTGTATTCCTCTGCCTTGTAAAAGGTGAAAGAAAATTTTCAAACATTCTGTTCTACTGAAATATTTGAAAACATTCAACTAGGACTATGTAGAATTCATGATCTAGAAACCTTTTCTATTTGCATTCCATTTGGGGAAAAACTGAGACAGCTGCCAACCTTCTGATGTCCCCCCACCCCCACCCCCATGGTGTCCTATGTTCAAGACTGCTATAGATGCAACTTCAAAGCAACCCCAATCAAACTGGTCTGGTCCAAACCTAGAATCGCAAATTTTGTTTGACTCATGTTGTACTAGAAATTTGAATCACCAATCCTATTTATTGATTTGGTTTTTATCTCACCGTGATTACTTTATAAGAAACTCAAAGCAGTGGACATACATAATATTCCTTCTTCCACTTATTTTCCCCACAATGACCCACTGAGAAACTTTGGGTTGAAAGAGAGTGACTGACCCAAAATTACCCAAGTGACTTTCATGCCTAAGATGGGACTAGAACACAGAGTCACCTTGTGATCAGCCAAAGTCAGCCAGTTGACTTTCATGCCTATAGTGGGACTAGAATTACAATCACCTGGTGATTGGTCCAAAGTCATGCAGCCAACTTTTTTGCCTAAGGTGGTACTAGAACTCACAAGCTCCTCTTGGTTGCTAGGCCAGCACCTTAACTAATACCCCAAAGGGGCTCTCAACAGCTCCTATAAGCTCCAGTAATTAGCCGTGTGAACGGGAGATTATGTAAATTACAGTTAAAAACATATGGAGAGTTTTCCTCCAAAAATCACTTGATTTGCATTTCGGTACAAACATACCTTACCTAAATTAAGTTTCCCCAATGCAAACACAAATTGAAAGACATCAGGCTGCCCAAATCCATTATCCTCTTCCTTTGCACATCTATTTGTTAAAAGTATGCAGGAAGGCATAATAGGGCAAACTGCACACACAACTGACATTGCATCAGGGAAAACCTGTTTGCAGTCAACATTAAAGAGAAAAGGGTGATTACAAAATAATCCACTGGAGCTTTGGCAGTTGGTTGGTTGGGTTTTGAAACAGTTTGCCAACTTTATGAAGAAAGGGGCCAAATTAACTCAAGGCTGGAAAACTGAGAAAATGAGTAAAATTAAACATGACAGATCCATTCTTCCCAACTTTTTCCTTCGAACACTGCCCGGTTCATTTACTCTAAGTCATCTGCTGCTTGACTTGCTTATTTTTGAATTACCTGAGGTCTTTAAGCTCCAGGGACTATGCTCATTTTCTAACTAGATCATGCTACAGTGTAAAGAAACGCTGACTGTTCTGCAGTGGACTGCAAAAGCATGGCCCCTGCAGGTTTCTTTAAAAAACAGCATAGAATAGAATAGAATAGAATAGAATAAACAGAGTTGGAAGTGACCTTGGAGGTCTTCTAGTCCAAGCCCCTGCCTAGGCAGGAAACCCTATACTACTTCAGACAAATGGTTAGCCAACATCTTCTTAAAAACTTCCATTGTTGGAGCATTCACAACTTCTGGAGGCAAGTTGTTCCATTTAAGGCAGTGGAGGTCTGGAGGTCTGCAGTGTTGTCAAAGAGGGTTCGTGAAGGCTTGAAGAAATGTTATGATTTAAATCATAAGCAAGGAACTAATCAATAAACTAAGCAAGAAGCGAAGCAACCTGGAATTAAAGAGAAACTTCCTAAGAGTGAGGACAATTCACCAGTGCAGCAACTTGCCTTCAGAGGTTGTAGGTGACTTTTAAGATGAGAGTGGACAGCCACCTATCTGAAATGATATAATGTCTCCTGCTTGAGAAGGNCCCCAATCCCACTGGATTGGGATTCCACACCTGTGAAAGCATCTGCTGCCTTCCTCCTTTCCTGCTCTGCAGAGGGTGAAGCTGAACCCCAGAAAAGCCCAGCTGTTTTGCTTCCTCTGTGAAGTGCCCCTCCTTTCAGGAGAGCCTCCAGTGTTAGTTCAGCTGCACAAGGCCTCGTCCCTGGGTGGCTCCCTCTACCTAAGGAGGAGGTGGAGGGAAGGGTTGCTATGCTGACTTTTAGGCGATTAAAATGGATGTTTAAACGGAGTGGCTCCATTGAGGAGACCTGAGAGAAAAGGCACATTGGGCAGCGCAGCCGTCACTTGGCTGGTAGGCAGGGAGCCCCTGTTGGGGACTCCACCCGAAAGACCCCCAGTGATTGGCTGAGCACCTGCAGCGGAGCCAGCCGAGAGGGGCTCATCTGGGTCGCCTGCTGCTTCTGCCTGGTTCTTGGCAAAGGAGCTTCTGGTTGCAGCAACGTCAGCTTTCCGGGGACCTTCCTGGGGTATCCCGGGAGCCCAGCTCAATTTGTGTTGGAATTTCTCTGAAAAAGGGCCCAGTGAGTTCCAAAGAGCCAGAAAATAGTCCAGCACTTTCAGTTCAGGAAGCAGAAAGATTTATTTCGCTGTGAATCACAGGCCCTGGATCCCCAGTTCTTTCTTTAAGGGCCAGCTTCTCCTCCCCACAGAGTTTCCTCCGTCCTTCCAGGATGCAAAGCAGGAGAGTGAAGGATTTGGGGGCAGGAAAAGGGGAGGGGGCGAGGAGGCACCTGCAGGCCTCCTCCGATCCAAGTGGCCTCTCTCCCACAACCAGTGGCCCACCTGGTGGCAGTCACACAACACCTGCCTTTGTCAGGAGACAACCCCCCCCCCAATACATCTCCTAATCTCTGCAGGCAGCCCTCCCCTCTGCCGGGCCTGGAACCTGCCTGGGCACGTGGACCCGCTGCTCTCCGGAGTGGCATCTCTGGGCGAGGAAAGGTGTTCTCACCTGGAGCTCCAGGGAGGAGCTGCCCCTCAGCAGCAGCAGCAGGAGCCTGGCAGGAGGGAGGTGTGGCCCTGGAGGTCAGCCTGGTATATAAAGGGCCCCATCCCTGCTGGCTTAGGAAGGGCTGTTGGGCCAGCAGTCTTGGGGGAATTTCCAGAAACCCATCAGGACCACTTTCCATGGGGGAGAAGCATGGCGGGAGCCACCGGGCCCTGCTCAACGAGGGAGAGGAGGCTGAAGTGGTGAGTCTCCCCCACGTGCCCCTCTTTCTCTCCCCCCCCCCCTGTTGCCTGGGAGGCAGCCTCTAGCTCTGAAGGAGGGCTCTTCCTGCAGGGCTGCCCCCAAAGGGCCCTCTGAGCAGCCTCCAGAAGCTCCAGCAATGGGGGCAGAGGGGGGGGGGGACTGGCAGAAGGGAGCGAAACCCTCTCCAAGAAAGGGGCATTCTTGCACGGGCTCCCTGCACTGCCAAGCTCCCCGGGGACCTCGGCTGCCCCCTACCATCAGGCCACCCTTACTGGGAGGGGGCTGTGTGGAAATGCCACAGAGAGACCCCAACCAGGCTGCTCTTCCCTGGCTTTCTTGCACAAAAGGCGATAGTAGCTGCTTCCCCTTCTTCCATGGGACCTTCATCACCCCCTGCACTCAAGAGGTCGCCCCGGGCTAAGAGGGACCTGAAGGCACAACGCCCCCCCCCCCAATAAGTAGTGTAGGGGTGTGTGTGTCTCGTTGTCCCCGGGGATCTTCTCCGCTTCGCTGGCTGAGCTGCCACCCAATCCGGGATGAACCCTCGGAGCCCATCAGCGGCTGCGGCTACTTTGCCGCTTCTGCCCGCCGGCTCAGACTTTGGGGGGTGGGGAGGCTCCGTCGGCGTCCCTGCTAGGGCGGAGAGGCTGCCAGGTGGGCCAGGCTTCTGCGGTTGCCTTGAGGGAGTCCCCGCCGGTTCCCCTGCGCTCAGTCCGTGCTCGGAGGCGCCTTCTGCCTCTCCCCCCCCCCAGCAGCTGCTCCCCATCCCGTCCGCACCTTCCCCTCTGCTCCCCTCCCCACCCTCAAGTCTCCTGCTAACGTCTCCCCCCCTTTCCTCTTGTGTACCTGGAGCTCCGCGGGGCGGGTGGGGGAGGCAACCGGGGACCGGCAGGGCTTCTCCCGGTCCCAACGCCTGTGCTGAGGGGGGGCTTCCTCCGGCCTCTTTCGCCGGACGGTCCCTCTGCGGGGACGGGTGCAGGGAAGAAGGGTCGGTCGGCGTCCTCTGGAAAGCCCGCGCTCGGCCGAGCTTCCCCGGACCTGGCCGCGCTCCTTCCCCGGCCTCTCTCTTCTCTGTTCGCGCCGAGCAGGGAGCGCCCCGGCCGCAGCCCGGCGCCAGCCTCTCGCTCGCCTTCTCTCCGCGTGCAGGCAGCCCGCCCGGGAGGCAGCCCGCCCCGCAGCCCTTCGGAAGCGGCGCACGGGCTCATTTAGGCCCCCGGCCGGAGTGAGGGTGGGGGGGGGGCACCGCAGGCAGAAGGCGACTCTCTCGGGCAGGTTTTCTGGCCGGGCGGAGGTGGCGAAGGCGGCCAGACTCTCCGTCCCGCCGAGGACAGGTGCATTTTCAAAGTTATACATTTCACTTTCCTTTTCAGCACTTAGCAACGCCAAGGACATAAGAAGAACCACAAGATCACATTTAATTTTATATTAAAGCAATGCCATATATAATGAGTGTCAAATTAATGTAATTAATATAGCATAAGGTTTATTAAAGTTAATTGAAAGTGATTTAATTAATTTTACGTACCACCCATCTTGCTGTCAAGGGACTCTGGGCAGCTTAAAGCCTCAGAGGTGCAGGGATGAAGCCTGGTGGGGGGGCTCTCCACAGGGATGGTCAAAAGAGAGAGCTGTAACAGTGGGATTTGCAACGTGTCTGTCCCTCCAGCCCTCCTCTTTGACTGTTCCCTGGCCACTCCCACGCTTGAGAGCCGTTGTCTGACTGCTGGAGTTTGGACTGGGTGCCCAGCCTCTCCTGCCCTCTCCTGGCCCTTCCCTCTTTTGACAGTTCCTGGGTCTCAGCCCTCCCCTCCCCTCCCTTCACTTTCATCCTCAGATGTCCGTCCAGCCACAGAGGCAGCCGAGCAGGAGAGAGTTGCAGGCAGGAGCAGCCTGGGATATTGAAGCTCAGATATTGAGACCACCTGTGGCCAAGACACCCAGGAGCCCATTGAAGGGTTGGGCAAGGGGTTCCGGGTGGCCATTGGGGTGGGGGGGGGGCTCCTCAGCGCCTGCCCCTCAGGCCCTTCCAGGCTGCAGAACATCCCCCCTCCTGAGGCTCTGCTGCTCTGAAATGCTTCTTTCCTTGAGACTGAGGCAGGGTGTGGCCATCCCAAGACCCTCTGGAGCATCTCTTGCAGGCCCAGGACCTACGAGATCCCACTCAAGGATCCTTCGATCCAGCTGCTCCCCGTGGACGTCTTCCTTTAGCCTCCTCCTCCACCACCAGAGGCCCAGCCTTGGAGCTCTTCCCCAGTTTTAGGGAAGGGCATCCCCAGACCTGGGAGAAGAGTTTCTCCAAGGGAAACCTGGAACAGCTCCCTCCTCCTCTTGGGCCAGCGCCCAGGGGT